CTCAGCACTTCTAGTCCCGATCTCTCAGCACTTCTAGTCCCGATCTCTCAGCACTTCTAGTCCCGATCTCTCAGCACTTCTAGTCCCGATCTCTCAATCTTAACCTTCCTAAAAAGTTTTCCTCTCAATGGTGTCTGTTGCTGTTCTATTGTTGCTAGATAACATTGTGACGTCGTTGGCCATTAAACAAAACAAGGTTCTGACAATGTGTGCTCTGCCCCGAGAACATGGTGTTTGGGGGGACTGGGAAAAGAAAGTGTGTGTGGGGGGGGGGAGGGGGAGGCTGAAAATGTCGGAAGATGAAAAACAATTTAGTAATTGTAATGCACCTTGTTGGCTGAACAGCTGATCTGGACACCAGGTCGTGGAGTCTGGGGGAGGGGGGTGGGGGCGATGTAAACGGTCATTGCAACATTATAAGTTGATTTGAACATGCGTTGAAATCAATTGAAGGGGTGCACGGTGACAAGGTAACGGCACACACACAACTACACATACGCATCCACACACACGCACACGCACACACACGCACACACACTTGATGATGTAATCAGCATTCACCAATCACAGAGTCACAATCTTAAGAACTCACAGCTGTGATGTTTCCAGTTGCAAAGTGAATAATATATGCTCCCACTCCCCCAACCCCCCCCCCCCAAACTATAAATAAATAAACAAATAAATCATAATGAATATGACGTCATCAAAACATTATAAATATGACATCAACTTCACCAGAACATCATGAATCTTGTAATGAATCACAGATTATGACACAGTATATGACACAGTATATGACACAGTATATGACATTTTCTTAGTTGTTAGTTCTGCCGCATTGCGTCATCGTTCAGATTAAGTCAATCTCGCCAACACTGATCTTAAGAAACAGAGATAATCTTCCAGATGCTCCCAGAGAAGTCATCAAGCCAACGAGGCGTAGCAAGTGTGGTGGCCGGGGTGGAGGGGGGAGCGGAACTTTTTCCATTGACTTAGGGGCGACATTTTCAGCCTTCTGCAGTGGTTTCTTTTTTTGTGTGGGGAAAGTGGGGGGAAGGGGGGGGGAGAAGCAATTTTAACCCACTCCGGACAGCACTATCTCTAGCAACGCTCCTGTACACCAATATCACTCTCATCATGTTTAGGTCTGATAAACTGTGTTTAAAAAAAATAATACTAATAGAAAGACGCCTACATCATCACTAGTTGAATCCACATGGAGAATGCTAAACAGCTTGAATTTAAACTAGGCATTACATCTGATTGATAACTACCCCGGGACTCATCCTTCCCCCCCCCCTTACCCTCCACCATAAGCCCGTAAAACTTATCTTCGACTGTACGTACTTGGGGGAGAATTGGGAAAGGGCTGAGATAAGTGTCTGAATTGTGTGACTGATTGTGACCCCGGGGGGGGGGGGAAGAGGCGGTAAAAATGTATCAACAAAAAAAATAGCGTGACGTACTTTACAGACCGCCCCTTGTCAAATTTTCCAGTTATGCTCACTTCACCCTATGCACGACTGCCAACTACAAGCGTTTAGTGGAAACTCGACCACAAAATGTACGGAGCTTTTCCAGACTCTGCAGTCAATCTGACGGCAAGCGCGTTTGTGACATTATTTGAGCAGATAAGATAAACCTGTGACAGATGTCGGTGGACTGTCACTTTCTATTATTAATATTTTCAATGTAAGATAAATGTTTACATGGTCCTAAAGCTCTGAACACTTGAACCTCAAAGTGCAGCACGAGTGACGCGCCGTATAGGATAACCACACACGTTTTGATGACGTCAAGACACGTCAGCATCAGGCTTTGCGTACTTAGCCTCAAACGTCTGAGATTTCTGTTGTTCATCGGTGACACATAGTGAGAATCCTTGGTCAATATTTTATTAGTGTCAAGCTTATCAAGAGATTTTTTTTTTTAAAATTTGAGAAAACAAAATCTTGATCACAAGTTGACGGCAGTTGTTTTGATTCCTCGCGTTTCATGAGGTCAACATGGCCGCTCAAGAAGGCGTCACCGGGAACGTCCCCACTTCGCACTTTGAAAGTTGCAACGCGTGTTACAATTTTACCCACTGAGTGCCTACAGCTTGTCCACTGTGTGTCTACAGTTTGTCCACTTTGTCTCTAGATTTGTCCACTCTATGTCTACAGTTTGTCCACGAGTGTCTAGATTATTTTACGGCACGTCTGCAGTGTTTCTAGTTAACTAACTAGAAACACTGCAGACGTATACCGTAAAATAATCTTAGACACTCCAACTGGATAGGCTTAATTTCTCCAGATTTCATTTTACTGACCCCAATGACCACCCCCCCCCCCCCCGAACCCAAAAAAATAAATAAATAAATTAATAAAAATTTAGAATATTAGGACCCTCCCCGTCTCTCCTTCTCCCGCTCTTTCTATCTCTCCCCCCTCCC